AGACTACAAGTTCGAGGACCTTGCTGGCATCAGCCTTGTCAATGAACTCAGCTAGGGCAGCATACTCGACGACCGGAGCGTCCCAATCAGATTTTCGAAGCTTGAAGGCGCCTTCCGGAGCCTTGCGCCGGACGATCTGCCAGCCATCACCGGCTTCCTGCCCGCCTGCCTCACCACAGCCGCCCTTGCCCTTGCCCCGGCGTTGACCTGAGTCGCCTGGGCCACCGCGCTGGGCCACCTTGGCTGGGCCAGACTTGTCTTCAGGCTTGCCCTTGCCTTTGGCTGCGCTCTGGCGGCCACCAGCACGCTCGCTGCCCGAAACGTCGGGGTTGCCACCTGGGTTGGCCTTACGTTTCCTCTTGCGCCTGCCCTTTGGCTCGAGCTGCACGTCTGGATCGCCGGACGGCCGGGCAGCAGCCAAGCCCCGGCCGAGATTGAGCGACGCCAGGGCCTGCTTTACTGCCTCGTCAACTGCCTTCTGGATCTGCTCCTTGATCGACTTCATGATGCTATCGCCAAGGCTATCCCCAAGGTTGCCAAGGTCAAGGTTGAAGCCAGGCCCAGGGTGAGAGGCCTCGCCCAGGCGGCATCCCCTCTTCCAGTCATGGCACACAGAAAGCATCGGCTCGCCTGCAGATGCCCGGCGGCCTGTCACGCAACACCTAGGTGCACACTCAAACCCTAGGGGGCCTAGCGGCACCGGGGCCGGCTGCTGGCGTCGCGGAGGACCTAGAACCCAAGAGGGAAAAGGGGGATGGCATCCAGCACCTCGGTTCGTGGGCTCAGCAGGGCCCGGGTGCGAAGCTTCGCCGAACCTAAACCCCAAATGCCAGTTCCAGGTAATCACTGCTGGTGGGCCTCGCGGACCCGGGTGCTTTGCCTCACCCACACGGACACCTTGCAGGAATGCAAAGCAGCGCTGGAGAGCAGGAAGCCCAAATTGCACACACACCGGGAGGCACGGAAGGGATTGCTGCACAGGCTGCACATGATCCACACTGGCACTAGGATATGCATGCGCTTGCGGCACCGTCCAGATGGGGCCGCCAAGAAAATCCGTTCCACAGCTCTGCTCGATCGCACTGCCACCTTGGGCCGTGGCGCCCAGGGGGCCCCCGAGGAAGTCCACACCTGCCGGTTCGCAAGAGGCAGGGACTGACACTGACACAGGCCGAGAGCTGCAGCACCGAGGCCATGGCGGCAAGGAGAGCTACTCTCGGAGGGGGCCCCGAACGGGCCGGTCTTAGAAAACATGTTACCAAGGAGGCAGGGAGCGGGAGAGGCCGGGCTAGGTGGCTCTTTGTCCTTCCACGGATCTTCTTTGATTTTTCGCGGTTCTCGGGTCGGGGCCCTTACGCTAATACATCTGGTCGCCGGCTGCAAAGGAAGAGCAGCGTCGCCATGGTTGGTCGCCTCCACTTCGGGAGGCCCAGCCAACTCCGCATCCTCCTCAATCTCGCCAGCAGCCGGCTGCGTCACCAGCTCAGCGTCCGCCCCAGCACCAGGTCGCCCACCAGAAGGCGGCAGCGCTGCTGCCACTTGCTCCCGGCTGCCCCGCTGCTGCTGGACACTTGCATCGCGATAGGCCTCCGCCGGAGCAAGGCCAAAGTCCCCGTCAGCAAACCACAGGGTAGTGCTTGGGAAATGTCCCATCGCCTGGAGGCGCTCCACCCAAGGGGGGTCGCCATCACACCGCTTTGTCAGCTGCTCGGTCCAGAGAAGAACGAGGGCTTCACGTACACGAAATAGCTCATCCACAAGCACAGCCGATCCCACAACTGCACTTGCATCCTCATTGAGCCTTTCCAGGAAGTCTTCGATAGAAGCATGCTCACCCTCAAGCATAGCTTTGAGAACATAGTTGCGCGGCGCAACTCCCCTGAACTTTCTGTAGCTGACAGGTAGGGTCAGCTGAGTACTCGACGTCGCGGCCTCCATGGCCGCCAAATCCATCATCCTTTTCCGCTCAGCACCCACAACGCCTCCCGAGGAAGGAGCCATGGCACAGTCGAGACAGACTTAGCCACCGAGCCTACCTACGGTGTTGTCCAGCTTGGAACTCGCGGAGTTCCTGTCTCGGGCCCAAGCTGCGTGTTCTCACGCCTTGAGCCGAACCTTTTGAGCCTTGAGGGTTGAGGACAGGGTTTAAGGGAAAATCAGACTTCGCAGGAAAATCAAAGCTTCCAAAACTCTCATGCGCAATAGCAGAAGCTCCACGCCAATGCAAATGTCGTGAGAGGAAGAATCAGCAGTCCATCAATCTCAAGCTTGAAGCGTCACACAAAAGATGCCGTTCAGGAAGTCAGATGTTTTCACTCGGTGCGTCGAACTGATCCTCGTCGGCTGAAGCAATGCGCCACATGTTCACATGATGGTCGCAGATGCCTCACTTCCCCCCCCGTAGGAAGGCAGCAAGGCCGTCAGTTCAAGCCATCACCAAGGTGTTTTGCTCTGCTCCTTCTCACGACGCGACATCGAAGTCTCTCTTGATACCAGGTGTTGTAAGCTGACGCGTGCATTCACGAAGGCCTCCCTGGAATGAATCATCCGACGGAAAATGTCAAGCGGCAGATCGTCAAGCTTCAAGGGAACCCTCAGCTCCGGACAGAAACTCGAGAAATCGTGATTGGTGATAGCGTCAGACAAGGTGTTCTCATCCCTCGGCCTCCACTGCAGTGTGAGCTGCTTGTTCACCTTGTGTAGAGCCGCTGCACATGCCATCTGAATGCCCATCAGCGGCCACTTAGTGCTCGAGCCCTTCTTCTGCAGCTTGCCAGTCGAAGAATTGTCTGTCCCCCCGCAAATCATAGTCCTTATGTTGTCGTGCACTCCCGACGTCTCCTTTTCCAGGTGATCAAAAACTTTCAACGCAGCAAGCGAGGCCAGCAACTCTGCACTCGTCGATGCCCATTGGCTATCGCCGTCATCTTTGAAAAGGCAAGGCAGATCCTGTTGCGACACATCGAGGCAGAACCAGCGTGCAACTGACGGGTCCGTCCCATTCTCAAGCGAGTAGCCCCCGAGCACCACCAAGCCGTTTGTGCATTTTGCATCCGTCCTGAAACTCTCGCGCGGCGCCCGCCAATCCTGGAGCACACTGTGGAGTCCCCTGGACTCCGCAAGCTGTTCCCTGATATAAACAAGCGACACGAAGACCATCTCCGGGATCCTCGCCACAGTCCCCTTCTGCAAGACGGCATCGAAAGCATACAGCGGTGCAAGGAAAGGCTTGACCCATGTCAACACTCTGGAAACGAAGTTGAGCCGTCCAAGGAATTCCGCGAAGCGCCGACCTGTGGTGAACCAGTTGTTCGCCTCGGCATTGTCGATCCAGTCAAGGACCCAGCGCGTCCTCTTGAGCGAAATCCCAGCAGCACTCTCCCGGTATGAAAGCCAGTAGCCCACGAACTCACACTCGACACCACCGTGAAACTTCCGGTAAGAAAACGGCGTGCCAAGCACCTCGTAAGCAGCAAGGATCATCCAGAGCACCATGTATTTGTCGGGACCAGTCACCACGATATGGAGGTCATCAACGTACACAATCTGCACATTCCAGAGCCGTCCCATCACTCTCAAGACCCAACGTCCAATGCATCCGAACAATCTGGCCCAAAGGATTGCAGCTGAACTTACTCCGAATGTTCCTACGCAATTAAGCCAAATCATTTTGGACGCCGACGAAGTCCGGCAGCCCAACAAGGGCCAGTCGCGTCGTCGTATTTTGGATCTCCTGTGTGCTTTAGCAATGTCCGCCGCAATGGAAAAGGGTCTCGATGATTTCTGCAGGTCCAGGTACTTCGAGTTTATCGGCAATAACGATCCCATTGTTCAAGCGGACGCCGTGGGTGGCGTCGTGGAGAGGGCGGACGTCGCCACTCGGTTTAAGAATGGCGCCCATGGCGGCCACCAGGAGTCGCCCCTCGCCGTACTCCGCCTTCACGGCTCCTTCAGTCGTCGCAACCATCAAGCCTTCCCGCTCCTCAGCCCTGAAGTGCTCCTCGAGCTTATCCGATGACAGTTCAGCTGAAGTGTAATTCTGCATCTGCGGTTCAAACTCACTCTCATCAAGCTTGCGGAAACGGTCCCTCGGCCGGAACACCTGTGGTGCCGTCGGCAGTGGTGAGTCGAAACCCACCGGCATCCCCTCGGCATAACACTCCTCCCCTTGTACAAGTATCTTCCAGTCGGGGTCACCAAGTAGCCTCAGCGACTCAGCCAGGAAGTACAGGTGGAAAGGCTGTCGCTCTGGCACACGCAGCAGGTCCGAAGTCGCCCCCGGGATGATGTCGACGATTCTCTGCCTCAGCTTCTGCAATGCCGACTGCGCGAATGGAGACTTCTTCACATGGCCCGTCGCAAGCCGAAAAGCCATGTCCTTGGGATCCTTCAGCTGATCAATCACAAAATCTCTTAGCAGTCTTAGCAGTCCACGAATTTTCTCAGCATGTGCGACTTCATCACTCGATGCCAGCTTTTCCCTCGCCTCAGGAGCCCAACGGCCAGGCGAGCACAGCCCAAAGCCGTCCACAAACTCCTGCATGGGTTGCCCGAAAGCGCGACTGGTCTTGGGGTCAAACGCTTCCCTGGCTGCATGGTCGACCCCCACTGGCACCTCCTGGGCACCTCCGGCCCCTGACTTGTCCATCCCCGCCACTGCCGCGCGCGGCCAAGGTGGATTTGCCTGGGGCATCGAAGGATTCCGCTTGAGCCTCCCCCCCCGCAGGAGAGGAATCCAAGACAGGAAAGCCCAGTGAAGCCAGAAAAGCAGAGTCCTCGGCAGAAAGTAGCTGCAAGTGCTGAGGGGTATATGCAATGGCGATGAGCCGATCTCCAGTCCAAGGCTGGGTTGCATGCAAGCACCCGCGGGCATCCAAGTAGACCGGACCGTCCTGTAAAGAGTGCACAGTGCCCGTGACGGGCGAGCCATGAAAGGAGCGCACTGTGGTACCGGAAGGATCCTGAATCCAAATACCACCATTCGAAAATGAAGAAATCGCCACAATCAATCATGTTGGGCACTGCCGCGTTCCGCGGATCACGATGAACCTCACTGCTGACGTTCTTTGTGAGAACAAAGGCGGCATAATGATGGCACGGGTCCACCGAACGAAGGAAAGCATTGATCACACGCATGGCTTCGGGGAATGTGTAACAAGTGGATCGCGGTGCAGTGACACCCTCCTGATGCATAGTACCTCCAAAGAAAGCGGTGCCAGGTTCGGCGCTGCCTGTGACTTTGTGGGGCCGAGTCTTGGGAAGTAAGTCGAAAAGAATCTGAACAGAGGCGCGATCAAAAGCACCGCGCGCAATACACTCCGTGGCAAAGGCCTCCGCCGAAGAAGGAATGTTGATCGGGATCAAATCGGAATCGGCCACGGCCCTCAATTCAGAAACAGCACTCAAGGAAAGACGTGCGAAGAAAGCAGCGAAATCCGAAGGATATGCCGCCGTGGTGGCCGATTTCCAAGCGCCATCCTGAAAACCGCAAGCTCGGTCTGCATGTGCATGCGGGCACCGTAAGAGCGGTCCCGCGTAATCTCCATCATCATTGACACATGGCAGCCGCATCCCAAAGTGCAGTGCCCCCGGCAAGTTGGAGAGCAAGCGTGTAGGTTTGCACGACACAGCCCCGAAAAAGCATTGGTGCAAAGCCCAGCAACTGACATCGCCTTCAGCGCAAATCTGACGAACCTCATCAAAGGACCAAATAGAAGCGGGCCTCTCACCAGACGGCACACGGCCAAGATCTTCCGGATGCTCAAGAATGAAGTTTCTCTTGAGCCGAACGACTTGGACCAAACAGCTGCAAAAGTTAAAGGTCGCAAAACTTGAGTCGCACAGTAAGCTGAAAGGTTTAGGAACACCGAACTGAGCTGCAAGGTTAAGCGAAACGGCACACTGAATGAAAATGTTTTGAATCCTCAAAGACGCCTGCGGAGTATAGCGCAATCACGATGTGAAACACATGAGTGCATGAAATACGATAAAGTAAATCATGATAAAATGCATGGGGTTTCCTAGGAGGCAAAATAATAAACACCCCGCCTACGAAGCTTCATTGAGCTCGCAGGTTGAAGTCTTCGGCATAATCTAGTTTGCCTCACCCCGTACGAAACAACAGCTTGCTTAGTTCAAGATTGCACTCGACTCACAGACTACTTTTCATGAGCACTGCCCCAAAAGGTCGTTGGCTCGATACGTTGTTCGACTACGTAGAACTGTACATCTACGACTAGGTTACACCGTCTCTGAGAGCGCGCGTCGCCCACGAGACGATAGCTTGACTCACCCAAGCGTAGGCGCATGTGGCATCAGTGCAGCTCGCAGCTGCCACACCACGTTGAAGCATGATTCCTAAGGGATCAGCACAAGGATTGAGATGCCTAATTGCATCGAGTGGCTCGTGAGCCTACTCCTTCGGACTCGCAGCTGCTCCACAGCTGCCAAAGTAGTTCGTACGTTAATCAAGATTGACAGCAAAATGCTGTTTCGAAGTCCTGTCATGTTTTGCTCAAACACAAGACTATGTACAATCATCATCGCCAGCAGCCTTTGTACAAGAATCCAACCGATCAGTGCACTGCCCGAAGCAGCGCACTCAAGGATTGGCGCATCAAGAGCATTATAACAAGTCAGCCACCGTAGCAAGCTTTGCATGGCTTAAAGCCTCGGCGCACTGCCTCTCCACGCGTAAGGCGCTCAAGTGCTTTGGCATTATGCAAGTTGCCGCAACTCCGGCGGCCATGGTATGCATAACCACGCGACTTAGTCACCCACACTGTCTGCTGATCAAGCTCATCTCTGATACGCTGGTCAAGTACAGATGCATATGCAACTGCTGGGTTCGGTGCTTTCGGCTGCATCGGCGCTTTTGGCTGCACCGCAGGTCCATTGGATGATCGCGCTGTCGGGTCGGGAGCATCATGGTCATCAGCAGCTCGGCCGCTGCTCTGTCCAAGCACACTCGCACTGCACGGCCCGGCACTACTCTTAGGGCTAGCCAAGGCGCAAGGATTAGGGTTTTCGGCAGGTTTCGGGACTACACTATCAACCGAAACTTTGGCTCCCTCGACTGTCACATTGACGCACACACCCGGCATCACCTGCGGCGCGCTGCCATCGCTGCACGCAGCTGCCTCACTTGCCTTCTCATGCAACCTTTCTGGCCTGTTTCCACGGCACAAGAAGATACCACACAGCACTGCAATGATAACGCATTGGCTCACGATAAAACTAGAAGACAATTGGCCCGAAAGCATCATCAGCGAAGATTGTGGGGCTATGTGATAGATCCAGTGTATAGGATCGTAAAGTCACAGAGTCAAGAGTCATAGAGTCCATGAGTCATGAGTCATAAAGTCATAGAGTTACAGTGAGATAGCGTCATAGAGTCATAGTGAGATAGAGTCACGGAGTCATGGAGTCATCTATGTACCATGCACTTGACTCGATGTAGTTCACTCTATGCTCTATGTGTGGGAACGCTTAATCGAGATCCCCATAGCGTGAGGGCTCATAGCCTGACCTGGACCTCGAGAGGCACATACAGTCAAGAGCCATAGAGTCCATGAGTCATGAGTCATAAAGTCATAGAGTTACAGTGAAATAGCGTCATACAGTCATAGTGAGATAAAGTCACAGAGTCATGGAGTCATCTATGTACCATGCACTTGACTCGATGTAGTTCACTCTATGCTTTATGTGTGGGAACGCTTAATCGAGATCCCCGTAGCGTGAGGGCTCATAAGAGGCAAATCCCTCTCATGGATTGCGCGGGGCACTTAAAATGTGCAACTTTACCTAGCGTTTCAACGCTCGACCAAGCCAATCCCTGTGAAGGGTGCCGCGGGCACCGCAAAATGTGTAACTTTACCTCGCGTTCGAACACTCGACAACGCGTGTGAAGGGTTGCAAAATTCAGCTCAATGCTCATCAAAAATTGCAACTTTACCTCGCGTTCGAACACTCCACCACGCCAATCCCTGTGAAGGGTTGCAAAATTCAGCTCAATGCACATCAAAAAATGCAACTTTACCTCGCGTTCGAACACCCGACCACGCCAATCCTTGTGAAGGGTTGCAAAATTCATTTCAATGCTCATCAAAAATTGCAACTTTACCTCGCGTTCGAACACTCCACCACGCCAATCCTTGTGAAGGGTTGCAAAATTCATTTCAATGCAAATCAAAAAATGCAACTTTACCTCGCGTTCGAACACCCGACCACGCCAATCCCTTTGAAGGGTTGCAAAATGCAAATCCCTGTGAAGGGTTGCAAAAAAAATTGAACTGCACCCAAACCCTGTGAAGGGTTGCGCGGCGCCCGCAAGAAGTGTAACTTTACCTCGCGTTTGAACGCCCGAGGAGGCGAATCCCTGTGAAGGGTTGCGCGACGCCCGCAAGAAGTGTAACTTTACCTCGCGTTTGAACGCCCGAGGAGGCGAATCCCTGTGAAGGGTTGCGCGGGCACCGCAAAATGTGTAACTTTACCTCGCGTTTGAACGCCCGAGAGTTCCAATCCCTGTGAAGGGTTGCGCCGGGCGCCTAAAATGTGTCACTTTACCTAGCGTTTGAACGCCCGAGGCAGCGAATCCCCGGGAAGGGTTGCGCGGTGCGCCTAAAATGTGTCACTTTACCTAGCGTTTGAACGCCCGAGCCAGCGAATCCCTGGGAAGGGTTGCGCGGTGCGCCTAAAATGTGTCACTTTACCTAGCGTTTGAACGCCCGAGGCAGCGAATCCCTGGGAAGGGTTGCGCGGTGCGCCTAAAATGTGTCACTTTACCTAGCGTTTGAACGCCCGAGGCCGCGAATCCCTGGGAAGGGTTGCACGGTGCGCCTAAAATGTGTCACTTTACCTAGCGTTTGAACGCCCGAGGAGGCGAATCCCTGTGAAGGGTTGCATTCCCGATGGACCCCGACGGTGCCACCCCCGCCTTTAAAAGAAATATTAAGATACCGAGATGTAGAGAGTAAGTCATAAGTCATAGTAAGTCATAGATGCATAGAGAGTCAGTCATAAGTAAGTAATCATAAGTAAGTAAGTAGATAAGTAAGTAAGTAGAGTCAGTAAGTAAGTCAGTAAGTAGTAAGTATAGTAAGTATAGTAAGTATAAGTAAGCAAGTCAAGTAAGTAAGTAAGTAAGTAAGTATAGAGATAGCATAACATAGAGTCCAGTGTCAAGTGTCAAGTAAGTTAGTAAGTAGATTGAAGTAAGTAAGTAAGTAAGTCGTAAGCATAACAAAGAGTCAAGTATCAAGTGTAGAGTCAAGTATCATAGAGTCAAGTGTCAAGTGTAGAGAGTCAGTCATAGGGGTCAAGTAAGTAAGTATCAAGTGTAGAGTCAAGTATCAAGTGTAGAGTGTAGAGTAAAGTATGGAATCAAGTAAGTTGATTCTATGTCTGTCATCTATGTACTCAGCTGCGGCGTTCCACACGGAAGAACCCTTCGCGATGCTTTCGGGAACTCGGCATGGGATGCTCTGCAAGAAAATCAGCAATCAAGAAAATCGCATACAGCAACTGTTCAAGAAAATTCCAAAACATCTCCCCGTAACCGTGCTCGCCAGTCCCCTGGCTCAAGGCGTCATCGCGATGCGTATTGGGCTCATCATCGGCACTGGCGACAGAATCTGCTTGCAAAGCCAATGCAAGGATCTGAAGCACAAGCTGTGGGTTGACTGCTCCTCGCTTCACAATGCGACTCACATGATGTCGCGTCCTGTGATCAAGCAAATGGGCGTTCCCAACCAAGGCATAGCCGCAATCCTTGTCACGAACATTCAACCGTGCAAGGATGAACTCAACTCTCTCTGGCTTTAGCGGCTTCGTGGGAAGGTCACCAACATTCTCTGCGGTTCCAACCGGTGAAATGTCCAGCATCTTTTCCTGAGTCATCTGCTGAAGCCACAACAGCTTTCCGTCGATGTGGCGAGTCCGTCCGACTCCTTGGCGATTCCCAAGCGACCTAGCTGCTGCATTGTCACACAAGCATGTTAGTGCAATATGCAGTTCCGGGCACAAGTGTATGACGCAATTCTTAAGGAGGATGGCAGTTGCCGCACCAGCAACCAGGGAGTTGTACTCAGCCTCGCACGAAGAAAGACTGATCACTTTCTGTGTTTGGCTACTCGAGTGGAGCAGCTGCCCGTCCCAAAGCATGCAACATGCAGATACGGACTTGCGCGTCTTCTTATCCCCGGACCAGTCACTGTCTGAGAACATTTCGAGGGTAGAAGTTTTCTGCTCAGACACGCGATTGCAGATCAGTCCTTGCCCAAGCTGGGGTTTTGCCAAACCAAGCACATGTGACTTATGGCAATTCACATAGGCAGTCAGATGCCTCAGTAACTTCCAGCAGCCTTCGGTAGGCTTGTGAGCATGTGTGGACAAGAACCGAATCCCAAATTGACACGCCAACAGGTCAGAAGCAAGGTACATTAGGATACCAAGTGCTGAGCGATACTTTGATGCTGACTCTGAGTTCAGCTCGCGGTCCGATGAAAGGTCTGTCGGCAGGCCTCCAGTCGGGAACGGGGCCGCCTTGTACCGCTCCTTGGCACCATCTAGTCCAGTGATCTTCAAGAGTTTCTCAAGATATTTGATATCAGGCTCAACAACCAGCAAATTGGGGCTGACTAGGATCAGTCGCCGCTTCAAGAAGGAAACCTCGTCACCTACTTGGCGGATCCATTCACTGGACACTTTGAACTTTGACTTCAAGTGATTCTCAAGCTCCTGAAGGCGTGCGGTCAATCCTGCCGCAAGCATGTCGTCTACATGCACCATTCCACCTCCTTGGCACTTGTGGTTGCCTTCCGCATGTGGAATGCGAAACAACACTGGCTGCTCTGCCAATGGCTCAGCAGCAACAGCTGCGCGGATTTCACACATAAAATCTTGAAACCAGGTAGCAGATCCGTCCCGTTGCCCAGGCAGCATTCGGAAAAGTTTATACCATTTTCCATCAACTTTTGTCAAGGTATCATGCTGTTGCTTGCACTGCAAGAAAGCGTCAGACACATCAAGACTCAGTAGAGACCAACCGTCCCCAAAGTTGCGAATGAAAAGCGATGGAACAATTCTCAGCATGCACTGGGTCGTCGTCGGTGCAAACAAGTGTTGCCTGCCCGGATCTAGATGCGCAAATTCGCGCGCAACTAACCTGGCTCTGCGCAACCAAACGCGCTCCTGATTGATCACTTTAGGCCTCCAGGTGCGAACGTACTTTGAAGACAATGTCCGATGCCCTTCAAGCCAGGACTCACTTTGTTCAAGAACACCGGCTTTTGTCAACCGCTCAAGCTCAAAGGAATCTGCTGCAGCATCA